CTGCTCATTCTGGCTTACATACTTACTGTAAGTATAAAACTACTAGTACAGTCTTGCACGGCCTTTATGCAGCACTTGCTTTTTCCCCAGCTTCTCCCACGACGTAACGATGAGCCTTATCACAGAATCACAGGGGGACCTCTGGAGGTCATCTAGTCCAGTTTCCTGCTCAGAACTGAACCAGTTGCTGTCCGCTGCTCAGAGACTTGGCTAATCAAGTTTGAAGTAGCTCCAAGGATGGAGCATCCACAAATTCTCAGGGCCGCTTGTTCTAATCACTTCCCTCAACCTGCTTTTGCTGATACGGTATGGTATGCCATCGGCCTTCTTTGCTGCACAGGCAGCTGCAAAAACACTTCTAAATAGTTTGTGATGTTGCAAATAAAATCCTCGTTGTCTACGCTTGGTCTTACAAATCCCAGTTGGTCCCACTCAATCACCCTTCGGTGTAAGCATTGGGTTTGGACACTGTGCTCAAACAAATAAGTAAACAGCTGCATTCCTACAAATTTTCTGCTGAAGCCATTTTGAAAGAAGGAGCCAGAAAACAAGGTTGCATGTAAAACAATGATTCAATACCCAGCCAGCAGATGAGTGCATTTGACAGTTGATTATACCCTACTGAGGGAGTAATTTATAGCCAATGAAAAAGAAGGTCAAAGACCTGCAATGCTTGTACTGCATCAATGGTACAGATATTAAAAATACTTATCTCCCATGTTGGTAGGCTTCTCAAAAAAACATTGAAAGACGGGTTTGGGGCCTGCTGCAATTCGAGCTTATAACCAAGGTGATCACACAGTATTGTTAATCACAGTTTTGATAAGCCAGGAAGGAACTAGGTAACACTGAGGACCTAGATCCATAAAGAATCACTATGGTTACAGTGATGGTAACTGTGCAGTATAATTGAGGGAAAAAAATATATATGCAGATTATACAGAACAGCAGAATCCATTTCTACATACTTGCCAGGAGCTTGCCAGGAACTGCCACCCTCAATTTCTATTTTGCTTGAAATTCTCGCTGCTCCAAAATACAGATTTTGAATACACTTGTAAGGAACTGTGTGAATATAGTTACAAAATCAATGCTTTCAAAGACCAGGAGGACCACCTCCCTAAATGCAAGTATGATGTTGAACCTCAGAAGAAAATGTTCCCAGGCTTAGATAGGAACTCAACCTTTGGCTGTAATTTGGTGGTAGATGGAATAAGAGAGGGAAGGTTTATACATGCACTCACAATGGATTGATCTAAGTATATAATCTAATTCCCAACATTTGTGGGTTTCTTTTGTGTTATTTGCAGAGCTGCTGTAATATTATGCCCCTAAGAATGGGACTTCTGTACAAAAGTAGTTAAAAGCCACTTTTCCTCAGTACAATGAAAGGTAGGTACTAGAAATGCAACTCTTTCCTTATATGCCTTTGGCACTTCCTTAACAATAAAGGTGGCATTTCTGAGAAGTAACTTCTTGAGAAAGCATTTCCCTGGTTAAATATTGAACCGATTTCATTACTGAGGAATATGAGCTTTGTGTCATTAGCGAGATCAGCTACATTTGTTGACAGGAAAAAACAGCTAAAACAATGAAATCTCCATAGCCAAATATCTGCAGTAGGCTTGCTTGACAGCATATTGGATGGTATCAGCAGACTAAGAGCCAAACTTATCAAGCCCAAAACCACACATGCCTTTCTGACTATGGATTGAGCAAGGACTCATTCATTCAGTATTGAAAGGAACTTCTCATGCGACTCAGGCTCAGCAGCTTTAGCAGATACAGTACCTCACACGCTAGGTCCCTGAAAAGAACTTTGAAGTGTTTTATTTATTGCATTCACATGCAAAAAAAAAAAAAAAAAAAAAAAAAACTATCCAGGTGCCCCTCAAAACTGAGTTACACCACACAAGAGCTTTCCAGACTCAACAGCTGCTTATTACTCCTCCGTGCAGTTTCCTCCCTTCTCTTCCATAAAGCACTGAACATATTTCTGGAGAATACCTGATACATTTGTTTGCGAGTTCTTTGCAAAATATTATGAAGAAGTTTTAGGAACTGTCCTGATTTCAGTTAGAACAGAGTTGATTTTCTTCCTAATAGCTGGTAGAATGCTGTGTTTTGGCTTAGGATGAGAAGAGTGCTGATGACACCCCAATGTTTTAATTGTTGCAGAGCAGTGCTTACACCAAGCCAAGGACATCTCAGCTTCTTGCTCTGTCCTGCCAACGGGCAGGCTGGGGGTGCAGCAAGAGCTGGGAGGGGACAGACCCAGGACAGGTGACCCAAACTAGCCAAAGGGGTATTCCATACCATCTGGGGTCATGCTAAACAATATATAGGGGTGGCTAGCCTGGGGAGGAGGCCGGACTGCTCGGGGTTAGGCTGGGCATCGGTCAGCGAGTGGTGAGCAATTGCATTGTGCATCACTTGTTTGTACACATTAGTAGTAGTGGTACTATTATCATCATTGTATTATTATTATTATTATTTTCCTGTCTTATTAAACTGTCTTTATCTCAACTCACGGGCTTCAATTTCCATTTCTCTCCCCCGTCCCAGAGAGGGAGGGCGGAGGGTGAGCGAACGGCTGCGTGGTGTTTAGCTGCCGGCCGGGTTAAACCACGACAGAACCAAGTTTCCATTTCTCATGAAATAATAAATGCTTCATATTCTTAATATATATCTATGTATATCCCCATCTGTCTGCATCTATCTCAACATACACACATTTTTTCAGCTGTGCTGTCTTTTACTACCATTATTTTCTGAACTAATAGAAGAAGAGCCCTTGAAACTCAAGGATTACCAACATCAAGAGGACTTCCTTACAGTATATTTCACAGCTATTAAAAAAATATATATTTGTAATGCTGCTGTCTTACAGTTCTTTTCTCAATAATCCAGTGCGATTAGTAAGGAACAAAACCGCAGGTTTTTCCAGCTAAGGGAAACCTACCAGAATTATATTTAAGATATCACTGGGTTATATATGGCCTGTTCAGCCATGCCTTGGTTTCATTGTCTCCCTAAAGTAAGCAACCACCAAGACATCTTGCCAGTCATTGTACTATTCTCTACAAAGAAAAAAATGTTAAGATGTGCTTTAATCAAAGGACAGAGCAAAGCTGCCTGGGCCAGAAGCCAGCATTCAGCATTGTGTACCAAATGTATTAATGCCAGAGTTGCTTGTTGGCACACAGCTTTCTAGAATTGTGAAATCTGAACTGGTCTTCTGAACAGGAGGCTCAGGGCTTCCCACAATAAGGAGTTGCCACCTCCCATAGATAGGTCTTATAAAGCTCTCTCCTTTTTTCCTCCAAAAAAACATTCAGATGAGTATTAGGGTACAAGTCTAGCACTCTGCTGTGGTTTTTCTCCTGTGTCAGGTCTCCTGAGCAACCTTGATCAAGCAGTGAACTGTTAATAGAGTTTTCTTGAAAATTTAGAAAAAAATAAATCTCTCTGAAGGTGTACTGGCAACAGAAAGCCACAGTGAACTCAGCGCTGGCTATATGATGGAGGTCTTTTTGCTTGTACCAGCTTCACTACTTGGCGGAGCTTTACTCGAGCTACTGTATACACCTCCAGTTCCCCGTACATCCACCTTACAAAGAGCATGAGGAACTGTCTGTCAGAGCTTCTAAATTAAAATAATGGCCTGAAATGTCATCCTGCTACTCACTGACTACAGGTAAGAACGTAAGGAGACAAACTCCTTCCGCACAGACATTAGCAAACTCCTTCCTATCGAGGTGAAGACTAAGGAAAAGAGGCAAATCAAAGCCAGAGGGCAGAACTCGTTACCCTGACATGTTGATCCTTCTCCGAGTGATTACCATACTCTATCAGGGAAGGCAGAACGGCATATAAAATTCCATCCCACACCAGAAATAAAATTCACCCGTCACCATCCTTAAGCTCTGTTTTCAATTTGAAGACTTTGACACTGTCTGTAGAAGCCAGCTTATTAGCGTATTAGGTAACACTGCTGCTTAATACAGCTTAAAAACATTAGGATGAGAATATCAGCAGTTCAGGACATATATAAGGAACATCTCAGTTAGGATATGAACTGCTGACAGATCGAAGCTGAGAACTGAAGACAGTAGTTACTTTGTCCATTCTCGAAATGCCACTGGCCTCCTTCTTCCTGACCACATCCTACTACCTCCTCTGGATCGTTGAGTCATCACGTCTCATGCAACTCTGCAATGAACTAGTGTAGGTGATTAAACAAACACCACCACCTAAAGACAATAAAAAAAGACTGGGGTACAGTTTCAAGACTATAAAGCCTTCTCATGACGACTGCCACCACTTTTGGGGCTTGTGTTTGTTTTTCAGGTTGGGTAATGAACTGAATCCACTTCCCAGACAACAGGAGTAACACTAGAGCTTCAGAAGGGATGGTGTAGATTGCGTGAGGGAGGAAACAGACCTGCTTTTTCAGAAGCCATAAACCATTAACTCAGCCTTATCAGGAAGATCAGCTTCCTGAAGCAGTTGCTACCCAACTGCAAGATCACTTTTACCACTATAAAAAAAAAAAATAATGTGAAGGAAGGCCAGACAATCACAGCAGCCCGTCAGCTCAGATTACTGTGGTACTGCATCCCTGTCTCTTCATGTTTGCAGTACGTACTAATAAATATGCTTTAGAGACCAAGTAAAAAAAATGAGATTTACAAAAGCTAGAAAGCAATTTAAAAGTTGACAGTCACTGCTGGTTCTGTAACAACTTAGACAACTTCTCTCCCTTAAAGTTATCAGTTATGACAGTGAATATAAATGAATTTTTTTACTTGTCCAAAGATAATTCACTTGGAGACCAACGTTGTTGCAATATTTAGGTTGAAAGCAGGACAATTTTAAAAGCTAGAATTTAAAAACACTAAGTCTTTAACTCAAAAATTGAGTTTCCCAGTACATACATTCAGATTTCATGCATCAATGCTTTGTAAAAGCTACTAAGACACAGCTGCATTGCTGCTCACCCTCTCCTGAAGAAGTTCCACAACTTGTTGTATGCAATCATTCACGTCACAAGAATCAGTTTTCAGCACAAGCTCTGGGGCTTCTGGTTTTTCATACTCAGAGTCAATTCCAGTAAAGCCTAGAGAACAGAAGACAAAAATCTTAAATGACTTCTTCCAAAAGATGACTGCATTTTAAGGTTGTTCACGGAACAGTTTTCAGGACATTAACAAGGCATGAGCACAAAGGGTTACTTTCCTTAACAGATGATTGCTTAGGGGAATCACCTCCCTTTTTCTTCATTGGGCTATTTGCTAATCCTACCACATGACTGCATCTAACTTCAGCATTCTGCAGCATGTACATTGTATATGTTTATTGGTATTTGATTTACTCTGTGAATAAAAAAGGTAGCACTGACAAAAGAGCTATGCACTTCAACACAGAGATAGTAGATACACATCCAGTAGCTGTCCTTCATTAGTAGCCATGATTTTTTTTTATTTTTTTTTTGCATGTGAACACAAAGCCTGATTTTGAATGAGTACATATTCAAACTTACACTCATGCCAGCAATACCTTGAAGAGTAGGGAACTGCATCATCTACTACGTTACTTTAGCTCACATACCCATTGTAAGATAGCTACTTAGGTATACACGTGTGACCCTTATGGTTATAAGGACTATTTTCACAGACTTTGTAAGTGTGGTGACACCTGGTGACACCTGTTCTGGCCTAGCTGGCTAGCAATCTGCGTTGAAACAGAGGAGATTCTAACCAACCATGCCCGAACAAGAAGCAAGGAAAGTTAAGCTCAGTGTCAAAGCATGCGGTGCTACAGATCTCATCTCCAGCAGAGACATCGGCTGGGCTCTATTAACTGGACACCTGCATTCTCCATACTTGTAAATGCAAACACTGCAATTCGAGTTTTGCACTTCAGACTTAAATATTCTCTAAATTAGTAGCTTTGTTCCACATCTGTGAAAAATACCAATTGCTGCAGTACCTAATGTGAAAAAGAAAGGCCAGTGTCTGTTCCAAAACCTGTATACTTTAAGAGTACCTAATGACTAAGGAATGGGAATAGGAGAAAAAAAAAACTGTCACATTACCATTCTTAGAGAAAAGGAAGACAACAGAAGTTGTAATTAACAGGCATGTCCATTTAATTTCAAGCCTTCATATCAAGTAGTTCGTAAGAAACAGTCACTGCTAGATTCCCTTGTAGGCACTGAATACCTCACTACCACTTCTGAAGTTACAAAATTCCCTTGTGCGCTTTGTAAAATTAACAAATTTCTGTGTTGCACAAACAAGGATTCTGTACAGTACAATATCCTCGCACCTTTCCCACGCAAGACATCTTGCTATGATTCTGAGCAAACCTGACTTCAGCTGCATTTATTGCCCATTCTTCACTGCATATTTGGTAGAAGCACTGAGCTTCAACCAAGTCATCTGGAGTGCCTTAGGTTTCTTGAATTTTGTGTCAGTCTTGATTAATAGCGATGTCATCATTAGAGCATGAGCAAACTCAACCCATGAAAGTGAAACCTTTAAAAATTACTTTGCTTCTTAATAGAGGTGAAAAATGTTATCAATCTCTTCTACCTAAAATAATACAGAGCTAAGAGCTCTTTAAACAGTATTTTCAACAAGTGATCAAGCTTTTAATTGTTTTGTAGGGCGAGGTTGCTTTTGTTCGTTTGTTTGTCTGAAGTAATTGCAGGCTGTACTTCAGAGTCTTAACTAAGTCTGGGGACAGAAAATTATACCCATGGGCACTAGCACTGAACCTTGATTTCAAAATAAACAAGTTAGTCTCTTTACAGAAAGATGGTGACACTACATTTTGGAAGGCAAAGTGGGTAATTCATATTAATACAGTTCTTTAAAGACTTAAGAGAAGTATCAGGCTCTTTTTAGGCATGCAAAGCAGGTAAGACTGTTCCTCAATTCTAAGAGCTTGCAATCGAGAAGCCTTGAGCAGATCAGCAGATTACACAGTTCCCACATGAAGACAGGCATTTTTGCCCCATTACTGTCCTATGCATTTATAATGGTCAGCTGCCCCAGGCAGAATTTGATCCCAATTTTCTGCTCGGTCCTATCCACAGTTCAGCCATTTGGAAAAGTGACACACTCACAAACTCGAGCTCACACACTTACGTGTAGTCCAGTTACAACATTTCACCTATGCAGAAAGGACACAACTACATTTAGGTTCACCTTTAATTTCTCCAGCTCTGGCTTTCTTATAGAGCCCCTTAACATCTCTCTGTTCACAGACATGCAACGGAGCATCTACAAAGACTTCAAAAAAAGGCAAACTTGCCCCTTCATGAATTCGCCTGGCATTATTACGATCCTGAAAGGAAACAGGAAAAAAAAATACTAAGATTGAATCCACATAACATTGGTATTGCTTTTCTGCTTCTGAAGTTCATTTTAAAGAAACTGATAGTAAAACATAAGCAAATTCTCCAAGTCTGAAAAAAAGAAACAATTTGAACAACTGATGCCCCACCAGCTAAATCATTTTTTTCACAGTTCTTCACATGGTCCTGGTTTCAGAAGTAATCTCAACTTCTTTCTATACTTAAGTTTAGTGTTTCTGGAGTTTGAATAATCATCTCCAGAAAATATGAATGTCAAAAAAAAAAAAAAATAGCAAGCATTTTATCCTGGCTAAGTTCAGTGACAGGTTCTTGTAACTCAAATTCTGAGTGACATTTCACATTTTTTATTTTCCCTCACACTATCAAGAGGGTTTTCACATTTACCTGAGTATATGGAGAGATGAAACTAGTGATGCACACCAAGCCAGCATCTGCAAACAGTTTAGCAACCTCAGCAATCCGACGGACATTTTCTTCTCTATCTTCGGGTGTGAAGCCCAGATTCTTATTAAGGCCTTGGCGAATATTGTCACCGTCCAATGTGTAGCATGGAATGCCATGGCATACTAAATACTCCTCCAGAGCCATGCTAACTGTAGTCTTCCCAGCACCTGACAGACCTAATTGAATTAAAAAAAAATGAATTAAATTGAATTAAATTGAATTAAAATAGGTATTGTAAGAATAAAAACAAGTTGGAGTGAACTGTAGCACATGTACTACTACCACTAGAAAAAAAAAAAGCAACAAGTGCAATGCCTGGTTCTGCCTTTCAGAGATGCTTACCCTCAATACAAGCTAAGTGCCTGTTACACAGACAACAGATACAGGGAGAACGAGGCACAAAATTAAGTGTGCTACTTGAAAAAGATGAAGAGTGTGGCCTTGAGAGCTATTGCTGTTCACAGAGGTGGTACCTATTGCCCAGTGCTGCTGTGGCTGGCAGTTGTTTCCACCTGAGCCAGCTACATTCAGAAACCCAAAACAGAGTTAAGGAGATGTTACAATTGCATTAGATGAGGAAGCTCTCATGGTCAAGTGAATTTCAGTCAACAGACTGGGCTCAGACCAAACCACACTGTTCTGACTCCTTGCAGAGTAACAGCACTGAATTAGATCACCACACACAGAGCAGAACTGTGTGTCTCTCAGGACTCATACACAGCAGTCATGCTCCACTAAGCAGAATGCATCAAAAACAAACAAAGGCAATTTGAATATGAACCTTCAGTTCAGAAACTTACGTAACAAACCTTCAAACAATGAAGAATGTTCTTGCTTGCACTAAGTCTACAGCTTGCTTTAAGCTGGGGATGTGTTTAAGTAATTTTCCAGACTAGAATCTAGGAGTTTATATGAAGTGAGTGCTTAAGCTTAATACAGGGCAATCAATTCTTAAATGGGACACAAGCTCAAATCTTGATAAGACAACTTTAATCCTCTGTGTAAGAAAAATGGTAAGGATAATGGTAAACAAAAAAAGAAATACTAATAGTAACACTACTAAGTGAATAAAGCTGCTTTTATTTTTATTAGTGATGGTTAAGATTTATTTTAGTGTTCAGAGAAAGAAAAAAATCACTCAAAGCAACAGTCAGTTTAGTATTACTTCAAAGACCTTTAGAATAAAGGGTGACAATCAGACTAAACAAGCACTTAGTAAGAAAATGCAAAGCAAATCTTGAGAGCTGTAATAGTTTAGGGCAATTTAAAGATGAAGAGTCACGATACTGGTTCATCCTTTGCTCAATTTAATACCCACAAGATGCAGAGCAGTCTATCGAAAATGAGAATGTGTATCCCAGGTCAAGCCCAATACGAGAGCCTCCTGTCCACCTCTGATTTCTTTATGGCTTAGCTCATACTCCAGTCTCCGAAAAAGACTGCAAAGGTGTGAATAATGTTTTATCATCTATAAAAATTATCTACACTCAGACAACTCAAGCTTCCATTGTCAATGCTTACTTGTCTGGCTTGAAAAGAGCAACAGCTAAAAATGATGAAGCTGGATGTCGCGACTTAGGCCAGAAACAGCTTGCCAGAAGGGGAGGTCCTGCTCTCTTGCCTCTCTTCACTCTCACCATCCTACCTCTATTATTCTACCACCTCCGGCGCTCATTAACCAACTCAGTTTGCTAATCTTTTTTATTTATGTACTTATTTATTGCGCCGTGTTAAGTTCACTGATGATTGAGCAAGTTGAATCAGCTCAAGGTCAGACTGGGCGGGGTGAAAGTAGGGCAAGGCTGGGAAGAAAACAATGTTCTTTTGGCAGCAATTAGAGTCGGAATGATTTGGGCTGGAAGGGACCTTACAAACCAGCCAGTTCCAACCCCCCTGCCATGCGCAGGGACACCTCCCCACTACAGCAAGTTGCTCAAGGCCCCATCCAGCCTGGCCCTGAGCACCTCCAGGGATGGGGCACCCCCAGCTTCTGAGGGCAGCCTGTGCCAGTGCATCACCACCCTCACAGTCAAGATGTTTTCTCTTGTATCTAACCTGATTCTACCCCTTTTTATTTTAAAATCATTACCCCTTGTCCTATCACTACAAGCCCTAGTAAAAAGCCTCTCCCCTTCTTTCTTATAAGCCTCCTTTAAGCTGAAATGCTACACTAATATTTCCCTAGAGCCCTCTCCTCTCCAGGCTAACCAACCCCAGTGCTCGCAGCCTTTCTTCACAGGCGTGTTCCAGCCCTCTGATCACTTTGTGGCCCTCCTCTGGAGCCACTCTAACAAGACCATGCCCTTTTAGAGCAGGATACAGTATTCCAGGAGGGGTCGCACAAGGGCAGAGTATGTGGGGAGAATCATCTCCCTCAACTTGCAGCCCCCATCCTAGAAGACAAGCGTGGCCATCCAAACTAAGATTGCAGCTACTCACCATTTCCTTCTCATAGCTCATGTTTGTGGTTTGTAATTTTGTTCCTGCATCTAGCTTGCTATTCACTGAAATGTTCAGTGTTCCATGCAACATCTGGTTTCCAACATGGAACGGAATGTAAAAGTTAAGGTCATTAAACAATGATCTATAAAAATCAGCTTTGAGCTGGTAAGCCTTTAAAATAACTTACTCAAAAAACATGTATTACATTATTTTACACATGAAAGTAACACTTTCCCGTATTTTTGATACATTTCTCAGTTTTTTTCCCACTATGACCCTCTAACTTCACAGCAGAAGACATGCATTGCATTATAGTTCCACTCTCAAATAAATCTTACTTTAAAATTGAAAATTGATCTCTGAATACACCTTTCCTACACCACTATACCATAATTGCTGACAACAGGAGAGAACCTTGAAGGAAATGTACCACAGTTTCAGCTTTTTCAGCAGAAACTAATTAAAGAAGAAATTTGGTTGCATTTTTTCTCTGGGATAACTAAAGAACTCCGAAGTTAGTGTGTTAATGCTTCAGAGAACTTTGAAGCAGAGAACAAACAAACAAAAGTCACACTTATGAAACAAAGCTACCTTCCAGGATTTACTTAACACTCTCTTTTTATAATCAAAACAATTCAGTGAGAAAAGACCACGCTGACTTCAGAATAAGCCCTGCTATGCTTTGTCACAACATGCAATTGCTGTCCAAAGGCATACGATTACAACAAATTGTTATTTCAACCCAAAGCCGTGAACATTACAAAGACGGGATCTTTACAGAAAAGATTCAGAAAAGCAGACCGTATAAAAAAGGTTTTATATATTAGCAGTTGAAATGGACAATAAGAACAGCAAGAACGTGGTTAAAAAAAACACACTCCAACGCACTCTAAGAATTAATCAGTGGACAGCAATTAATTTAGCGTTCCTAGAGCACTGAACAAAATGCAATCTCAAGTTATTGTCCCAGAGCAATTTCTTGATAGTCAGCCTAAAAAATAATAATTAAACTGCATCAAGGGCTCAGATGCCATGAACATTCAACTTTGGGGAAAAAAAAAAAAAAAAGAGCTACAGCTAAGCAGCTTTTCAGAAGACAAACTAAAACAAGACACAAGGATCCTGAGAAATCCCAAACCGTACCTGTTAACCAGACTGTGCATCCTCGAAAACCACTTCTTGTTCCAACCACCTGGCCTCTCTTATTTCTGCTGACATGATGAGCTTGGTAGGTAACGTTGGTTGCCCTCTGCATTCCCTGTGGAAATAGCAGATGATTAGGTCTTTAACTTCTGATAAGATAAGGTGGCAAAGTATATCAAACCTTATTCACAGGCACAAAGGAGGACTTGGAGACCTGTGAATGGAAAGCAAAACCAATGCCCAATCCATTTACTGCAGTGTCAAAGGACACAAAGGAAGTTAAACACCCACATACCTTGTGCCCCTCCTCTGAAACTTGGGTTATCAGGCTAGTCAACTGTTTTCATATACAACCAGCTGAAGAAAATCAGCCAAAGAGAGAGAGAGGAACTGCTAGACCTGACTCCTATTCAGGTCATTTAAATCTAAGGAGAGCAAGTGGATTCCTCTCACAGAAATGAAGGTTTCAGTCGTAAGCAGCCAAACATTGGCTCACTTTTAACTCATAAAAAGACACCCTTCCATTGCAAACTACGCATGTGATCCACCTTTCAGTTCAGCAGTCACACCTCTGAACCACTCTGCCTTTATCTATCTTCAGTCTCCAAAATTAAGACAGTTACGATATATTCCGAGTCCTTACAGAAAATATTCCTAAAGTGACTTTTTAAAGAAAATGCTTACAAAGATGTGGTTTTCCCGATAAAATTCTGTTTTAAAAAATCCAGTTAAGACTTTCTTAAAGCTATTTATTCACCATAATAAGCTGTCGTATCATCTTACATAAGATGACATTGCTGTCAAGCACATTTCATAATCTAAGCCAAAGGAACAGGAAGATCAGCCCCAACATTCCCTTGAGTTTCGTTGGTATCTGATTGTATGAACTTTGCTCGTGAAAGATCAAGACCTTAGATAACCAGACCAAGTACGAACAAGCGAACAAACTGAAAAGAAATCTTCAAAAAAAAAAAAAAAATGAAGAGGGGGTGGAATCGTTTGCTTATGTAATGCTGCTTTGACTTCTCTCACAAACAAGTTGCAAGGTATTTGCATTATCTTCTCCTTCATTATTGTATTAGTGATGGCTGGAAAGGAAAGCACTTAATCAAAAAAAGGAGGGAGGATATTCATCTATCAAGTACTAGCAGAGAGCTGTATGACAGATAAAAGTAGGGTTAACAGAGAAGTGTTATCTGCTTATGATTTCAAGAAACGCTGTTGCATCATTCTTCTGTAGAACAGCATCTCAAAATCTAGTTTACCCATAACTCGATAGGAATGTATGAATATGAGCAATTCTGGCCCTGCTTCTGTACACAGCTGGGCTTGTAGCTGATATGGAAAGAAACTCAAGCTAGGAACAGATGTTCACATTTTTAAATAAAACAGATCTATCTCATTGGTGACAGCCCAGCACGTAAAATTAAAGGAAAACTGAAAATCAAGCTGTAAGAAACCACCACCTGCACAGGTTATGGCTGCACTTACTCACCAATTGCGTTATCTTCAAATAACTTATCTCCTGCAATGCTGCTTGCAGATAAAGTCAGTGCAATAAAGCTAACTAAAACCAAAAATCAAAGAGGCTTCTTGCAGTAGAAACAATTAACATGCTACCTATAACTGGAGATTGTGGTGAACAAACGAAAATTGTGGAATTAAAGACATGGAAAAGAATTTAGGGACTTGCCCTTCAATTGAAAGGAAAGACACTGTGTGTAATGAACTAAGACATTAATAGCAACCTTCTCTCTCATTAATTCACCTGTAACACACCATGGTCTCCAAACACCGCTCCCCTGCCACTGTCTCAGTAGAGCTGCAGTACACTCCTAACAAGCCACGTGTCCCCCAGACACCAGGTATCTCAGATTGCCTAACCCAAGAGCTCTGCCTGTACTTGAACGATTTCCAAAGCTAGAAAATTTCCAAGAAAGCATCCTACAGAAAAATTTACATTTAAAACAAACAAACAGCACCCGCCTTGCTTTTGACGCACAGGATTACCTCTGTTATCATACACAAATACTTTACAGGTCAAGTGCCTCACCCAGCAAGACTTCTTCCAGCCCGTACTCAGTAAATGGCATCAGTTTCCTTCCTTTTCCAGAAGCAGCAAAGCAGCAGTGAAACTGAGCCAGGCATTTCACTAGCCTTACAAAACACACAAAGCCCTGAAGAAGCAGGCAGAGTTAGTTCGTTAAATGATGAGAAAGAGACGAGTTTAAGAAGTAAACACAGAAAGGCATTAAGTAAGGAATTAGATGGGAGAGACATCACACAGCATCAGCGAGGAGGCCAGCAGATTGCTGGAGCTGAAGGCACACGAGTGCAACAGCGCAGCCAGCAAGCTCAGTGGTGGGACAATAAGCAGTGGGACATGTATTAGGAAATACTTAAGAAGCTGACATCTAAAAACTAATCTCGAAGTGCCCAAACAGATTGCATGCATTCAGAGACACTCCCATGCCCAGCAGCACCACTCAGCACGCGTGCTCATGCACAGAAATGAAACAGCCTGGTCCCACTGCTGGGCAAGGCTGTAGCCAAATGCTCCTTATGCTCCAAAAGCAAAGAGCTTTTAGAATTAACCATGTAACAAGTCATTTTCTGTTACTGGAAAAAAATAATAGCAGTGTTTCTTCATCGTGCTCACTTTCCTACCAGATCATCTACCAACCACCACCACCAAGCAAACTGCACACTCGATCCTCAACACCCGAAGTTTTATTGCTGTCCCTGACACACACACACTTACTGCAGACACTGCTGTGGCACAGAGGGGTACGTAGGAGTAGAAACCAGCGGCTGACATCAGTTGTACTCTGAAGTTATTTAACCAGTCTTCAAATTTCCGGTACATAAAAGTTGGTGAGTATCAGCTGATGCCACGTAATGGCCATCCAAAACGAGAGCAGAAATAAAGAGCACTCATTTCATCTGATACTAGAGCAAAGCACTGCTCACCTTGGAGAACTCGATAACCACTGCTACAGGAAACGAAATGTAAGACAATGAGTAACAGCAAAACTCAATTTGATGAGCAAGTACTTTTTTTTTTTCTTTTTTTTTTTTTTTTTAAAAAAAAAGCTATTTTAGACCTCTTAGCCTAATTACTTCCCTTATAATAATCTCTACTGAAAGTACACACCAGAGTTTTTCTGTAAAGAGGGTAATGAAAAAAGGTTATCAATCTCAGAGGTCCACTTATCTGTTTTGTTTTTTTTTTTTTTTCCACATCCATTCGAATTTCCTCTCTGATTTGCCCACAAATCTGTTCCTTTCTCCCCGTGTTGCACATTAAGTGTCTCTGTACTACTTTTAAAAACTGCATTTTAATATTTTCCCTGCCCACCACGGTAAAGAAAAGTAATGCTTCAGTCCCCTGCGCTGCATTGTAACTAACATCAGCTGGGAAGGCTGACATCCTTCCTTTCTCCTCCCTCTCTATGCTGGTTTGTTTCTCGCATGAAATCTGAAGCGCCGTAATAGGCTCGTATCTTTGTACTAAGGATAAAAAAAAGGAGTATTGACATAAAAAGCCTTTCACGGATGTGCACTGAAGAGCTGTAAGGACGAGCGAGCAAGGAAGGATGACTCTGCAGCTCACTGTCTCCGGCACAAGGGGAGCCTTTCAGCATTACAGGCAGTTGACCAGGGAAATAAACACTGACATCTAAGAACTACGGAAACAGAGCAGAAAAAGAAGATGGGGATCAAAAGGAAGCATTAACGCTGCCAACTTCTCTATGCAAAGCCTTGCTAAGATAGGCAGGAACTGTATTTTTTTTTTTTCTGATCCTATTCTTGATGTTTTGCCCAGTTTCAGCTATCGATGCCAAACCCCTTTGATACAAGGACTCTGATCAGCCACGCAGATGTAGAAGACCAAGCCCAAATTGCAACACCAAGACCAAAATACAGTAGAAAGGAGAGATCATTGCTTAATTGTTTCAGAGTTAACGGACAGACCACTATGCTGACATTAACTGCATTCATTTTTCATTACTTCAGAGCAGTTATGAAACGATGCTCCAGCAGCCACCCAGCAGCAAAGTTAACGTTGCCCAAAGCAGGACCTCTGGCGCAGGAAGCAAAGCCACGCAGGGACTCCCTGGGCTACGACACCCACTTCGGACCATCGGCTTTGAGGCTGGAAACATCAGAACAGGGTAAAGAACAAGCACAGTTCCTATATAAACCATACGTATCCAAGAAGCTCACACTATTTCTGTAGTCTTCTGTTCTAAGAAGACACTGAATTCCCCAGGCTAAAAATTCCCATACGCTAACAATAGCGAGGCATTCAGCACCACCTCCATTAATGCAGTCTTATCTCTAACACCTTTCCATTTCCCAATCATCCCCGATATTTTCTAGGGCATTTGTACCTGTACGCCCTTACAAGTCAGGGATTCCCTGATAACAATGCATTTTTATGGCATTTATAGCATTTATCCAGCACTCAGACAAATGGTATCTTCCTTCTTCCCTCCAACCCACTCGCTTTAATATAGAGGCAGCAACTTAAGCAGACTGAACGCTTCCCATTTATTTTGTCTACCTCGACACACAAGCAAGGAGAAACAAAGTGGAAACAGTTCTAACATACAATTCTACTGCTATAAAAACTAGAACAACTGCACTACAGCTGAAAGTCTGTCCGTCCGCCTACCTAGATGAGGTTTCAGGACCTGTTGGCCAAAAGATCTGCCAATAACGCCTTCTGGTAATTACCACCTCCAATTCTGGCTTGGAAATTTGTGCTTTGGGTTGGACAGTTGTGCTTAGAAACAAAGGACCAGCCTTATGTGATACCCAAACGACAAGACTTTTATAGTTATTAAGAAACTTTAAGTCATCAATCCATTTTTTTTTTTTGCCATGGCTTCCAGCGTTATGTTTTCTCCCACTTAGATTTACAGCAAAAAAAAATCTTACTTTTATCCTCATAACTGCTCTCCAGAACACGGATTGCCACAGTGATGCTGATACAGGAAGGTTATCTGAGCACTTTTGCACAGAGCAGTGCCCAACTGGCCTAACACATGCTCTCCTGCCACTTCCACAGACCTGATTTACGCTAGGCTTTCTTTGCCAGCTGTTCTAAGGCTGGGACGGTTTCAAAAATCAGTGACAGAAAGAAGAGACTGTTCTAAAGCACTGGGTACACAGGCAGCTCCGTGATAACCATACTATGAGGAGTTTTATCTTTACTTGCAAACTGCTGCAGCAATACCACAAGCCGCTTGCTCACCACCGCTGGAGCCGAGGCATTAGCAGAGGGAAGAGACCAAAATGAAGTACTGACAGCCAGCAATGCGGGCAGAAAGGAAAATCAGAGCAAGTCCTTGTTGCCTCGTTTCACAGGTAATTCCTAGCACCTCAGCAGCCAGAGCGACGCTCGGGAATGTGCTCCACAAGTCCTGCAGCCAAGCCAGCCACAAACGCTGCCATTGTGCTCTTGTGTGTTGCTCTGTAATTCGGGGTATGCTGTGCTCAGAGGCGGGCTTGGCAAGCAGACGAACACGCAGAGGGTTCCACAGAGAGGGGCATTTTGAACAGTACCAGATGCCCAAATTTCGGGAGATACAGCTCTGCTGGCTCCCCTCACGGCTGCCGACTCCATCGGGGTGTAATAGGTCGCTTTGACTCTGCTCTCAGACGAACAGATGCGGAGTCAGAAATGCCAGAACATTTGAACATTTTTCTGTGGAGCGTGTGAATCAGCAGGATATTTTTTTTCCAGTAAATTTACTGGATTAAAAAGAGCACTTCAACTGAGGTCTTCTGAAGAAAAAGGAAGAGGTGGAAGCCTTCCTCCGCTTGCCACGTATCCTGCAGGGCTGGCTACCATCAAATGAGCTCAGCAAACAGTTAATCAACTTTTTTTTAAACGTGTCCCTTCCCTGGTTTGGGCAAATCCATCACGATTTTGCCTCTGACAAATTAAACGATACTTCTTTTGGAGATACTTCATCGCCTACACCCAGCAATGATTTACTTCACTACCTTCTTCATGACACCTGATGTCACCTTTTCCTCACAGAAAATGAGGGAACATAATTTACCAAATACTCTTTTGTAAGCAAGTTTGAACTCGCTGGCTCGGGAAGAGGGCTGGCACGGCACAGTCTCTACTGAAAGACTTTTAGTATGGTAACAGCTTCCCCATTTTTTAGGGGGCAGCTGTGACTCGTTCCTTAGCCTTTTTGTAAGAAAGCTGTGGCCTGCACGGCTTACAGCAAGGCTTCAAAGATGGTTCTGCACTGTTCCTTATGTATCAAACATCTTCCGGACCTTATCTCGTCTGCTTCAGCTCAGCATGGCTTGAAAATAATCATATATCTATTTCTCTTTTTTTTTTTTCCTTACTGCCTTGCATCACCAGAAGTATTAAGTGTTCTCGGTAAAGGCCTGCACCGTGTCTCCTAAATAGCTTCATTTTGGTGTCGGCTGTAAGCCGATCTGCCCGCATCCCCACACACAAGAATGCAGGCTCTGGCTGTGGGGTTTTTTTCCAAGCCCTGTCTCGACGCTTTTCCACACAGCTCCCGCCGCACAAAGGACCTCAGTCTGGGGCTTCATGAAAGCCCGCATTGTACATCGCCCTCCCGAGCCCTCCTTCCTCCGCAGCGACAACTGCAGCCCCCTTCTCCTTGCCCCCATTAAGGGTCTTGCCCCCCATTAAGGGTCTCCTCTCCCCGTTTGGGGTCCCGGCTCCACCGTCCCCTCCCCATCCCCATCCCCATCCCTCACCGCCCCGGGTGAGGCGCGGTGCAGGGGCAGCCCCTCATCCCCGCTGCCACATCACCCCCAGCGGCTCTCCCGCTCCTTCTTCTCCTTCTTTCCTCCCTTTTCTCCCCCTGCGCCCGCCCTCTCACCCAGCTCGGCACCCTGTTGCTCAGCTTCACTTTCTTGCACTGGCTCTCGGGCAGCTCCATGGCCGCGGGGGCGGCGAGAGGACGGAGGGAGGGTGAGGCGGCGCGGTCCCTTCGGATGCTCCGGGCGGTCCAAGCCGCCGCTGTCGCCGCCGCCCGGCCGAGGGTGGCGCAGGGAGGAGCCGGCAGGCAGCGAGAGGAGGAGGAGGAGGAGGAGAAGAAGGGGAAAAAGGAGGAGGAGGAGGAGGGAGGCGCATGGGGAAGGCGAGCCCGGCCACACGCTTGCGCGGCGCCATGACGCGCCCGCGGGCGGGAGATGGCGACGGGGGCGACGCCGCCATTTCCGCCGGTCACCGGCAGCCCCGCTCTCGGCTGCCCCTGGCGGGCACCGGGCTGCTCCCTGAGTAGCCCCGCCGTCATCTTTTCCTCAGGAATTAAAATAAACCAACCCCGAAAGAAAAATAAACCAACCCCGCAGAGCCCGCAGGTCCGTCCTCGTTGTAACTGAATGGCCAAAAAATAAAAATGAAAGCGTTTTCTACTCCTGTGAGCAGGCTGAAGGGAGCTCTCTGTTTTCTACGTGTTAAATTATCTGTGAACATGCCAAAAAATGGGTTTGGGGGGGCTCCGAGGTGCGGAGAGTTGTCTGCAGGGGGCTGAGCTGTGGGGATGTGAGGGATGGGGAAGGCAGCACCCGACCTTCTGGCTGCAGCACCAGGCAAAATCCAGCATATCGCAGGCTGGCCAAGCCCAGGGTGACTGAAAACCAAATAAATCCTTTTGGTACAGTCATGCTTGCTTACAAGACTGCACAAGAAGTCCTGCTCGTGTGGGAGCTGAGAAGACTCCAGCAAAAAGAGGCTGTTTGCCTGTACTCAGCCAGCATCCAGAGCTCCCCGTCCTCTCCGGTGGCCAAAGGGGGTGGGAGCCCCCCAAAGCCATTAGGAAAAGCGGGCACAAGGTGGTGTCATCTGTCTGTTGTCTTTCATAGAATCACAGAGTCATTAAGGTTGGAAAAGCCCTTCAAGATCATCTGGTCGTCACCAATGTCACCCACTAAACCGTGTCCCCAAGCACCACGTCCAACCTTTCCTTGAGCACCCCCAGGGACAGGGACTCCACCACCTCCCTGGGCAGCCCGTCCCAATGCCTGACTGCTCTTTCTGAGAGGAAATGTCTCCTCATTTCCAACCTAAACCTCCCCTGGTGCAACTTGAGGCCATTCCCTCTAGTCCTATCGCTGGTTATCTGCAAGAAGAGGCCAACCCCAGCTCCCCACACCTTCCTTTCCTTTCCTTTGAAGAAAGACGGCTTTGCTGCAAAGCTTTGGCATGGAGTCAAGGAAACTCCGAGCAGCAGCAGTAGGCACTGGTGGCAATGTGGTCATGAGTGACTTGGAAGGCAAGGATTGTTTCGACTGAACCTCCCACCCTACAGGGATGCCCCAAGGAAAAAGGCCACTGCTGTGCTGTGCTCCTGATGTGAAATGGCAACCACCAAGTTCTTGGATTCTTCCTTCACGAAGGGAACTGCTTAGGCATGACGCTTCAGGTGGAGAAGATGTCGTGCTAACATGAGTTGAAATTCACTGTGTAAATATTACCCCATTTGTATTAGTTCAGGAAAGGAACTGCTTTAGCACTTAAGTGCTAATCTCAAGGTGGGAGCGATGCTGCGCTGACTAACACAAATTGCATTTACTGTACAAACATTAGCCCATTTACAGGCTGTAGATTTTTTGTTCTTTGACATTTTAAACAGGAAATTAAAAGGCCCTCTTTGTGGTTGAATGTGTTTCCACTGCTGTATTAGAAAGACATCTTTCCAAAGATACTATGGTGTTGGTTTAAAGCACTTAAAAAAAAATGTGGATTGAAAGCTTAAAATCCTTGTGCAAGGTAAATGACCTCTCTGAAATCCAAAGGAAAAAAAATACTCTGAGGTAGTTTGAAGGTCAGATATAATTATCACAACGTAACTAAGATATATGGTGATTGCAGTTATTTGCTTAGGCTTGACTTGAGTGGGAAGGTTGTACAGCATGCTATCCTGCAAATAATCCTTCAACAGATGATCCCTCCCTGTACAGGAACATTCAGACCATGGCAAACAGTGACAGAGACGGGGCCTGGATTTTAATTAGCAAAATCTCTCATACAATGCTCTCCCAAGCTTGGAAAGAGAATTAGCATAGTGCTGTGGAACAGTGAGTTGGGAGCTTCTCCCTGTTGACTATTCAGTTGTATTTAAGGCAGGCTTGGTTAACTTTACTTTGCATAATACTCTTTTCTGTGGCTTAAGAGTAATTCTACATGTTATTTGCAATCACACACTTCTGTTTCAGATTCTACTGTTATTTTGTTCTAACTGTATTACTTACAGATTGGTACTGTTCATTTTGCAGTCTGTGAGACACTAATGGGGAGACAGAAGTATGTAAAAGTTGTGAATTAAATCAGAAAACACAGGCAGCTCAGTTAGCGATGTGAATGACTTCTTACAGCTACGTTTGGATCCCTTTTAATACTCACATAGTGACTGGGAGCAAGACACTGAACTTTAAATGCTCTCCATAGGGGTTTTGCCTTGCCCAGCTGTTTGCTGGCAAGTAGCTCCATCCTATCAGGGGATTTTTTTATTTTTTTTTCCAGCTAGTTTCTAAAGAAACAAAGAAACTGTGTTAGATTAGATTTGAAGGGAGGCTTCGAGCACAGATTAAGTTTTAGGCAACTGTATTTGCAGCCTGGAAAATCGCAAGACAATAAAATGGAGTTGTATTAATCAGGCTTTATGCACAATACTGCTCAGACAGGCTGAAGGCAGGGAGCTGCGTGATCCCTTCCGCAACGTATTGCAAGAAAACTTATGAATGGACCATATGGTAGTAAAATATGAGGTGTGACTGCAGCTACAGACACTTGTGATCAGAGCAATGACATAATAGTGAAAGCAATAAAAACACATTTATGAACAGTTCTTAGATCACCTTTTATGATTATGCTAACGTTGTAAAATAAGGTATACCCATGTATGTGCACATAGTGTGTTAAGATACGAGCTATATCGTAAAGCCACACATGTAGATTAGGTAGATCAGGCCATCACCAATATTTACATGTTTTACTGAGGCTAATGGCACAAGCATGGACCATATTTCCTCAGTTCTTGTCAACACTGTTTCACTGAAAATGTAGACTTTTTTTTTTGGCATACAGAAGATAGATGTAGAAGTCTGTCCAGAATGGCCCATGAATTTTGGCTCTAACATCTTAACCTTCTTAGACTGGTAGGGAGATGAGAAAAAGATTCTTTAAATATAGGAAGTAAAGACGTGATAATTTATACCAAGATTTGGAGAAAATGCAGCGCATCTGAGTTCTTTGTTAGGTTATGTGTAAGCTCTGCATACATTGTAAGTTCAAGCTCCACTTCTCCGAAACCTTTCCCAGTGGATTGATTTAGATATGCAAGCCACGTGTTTCCAGGACTTCAAAAGCAAATTTGTATGGGAGCGCTTAGTGAAATTCAAATTAATAAACAATCTCTGATAAATTGCTGATAAATTATTTCTTAATCTGCTTGAGTTCAAAAAACAGTTTTCATGGTAACAGGTGTTCTTGCAACTGATCTCTATGGATCTAATGTGCAGTACACCTGTGTCCTTGCTAAGTGTTGTCTGGGAAGAGAACGAGGGGCAGAATTGACAATATGGGCTAAAACTTTGGCCAGTTTGAGACCACAAAAGGACTTTGAAGGAAAGAAGACTTTGGAGAAAGAACCACCAGGATTTAGTATTCTTGATTTGATTGTGATGCTGAATATTGCTGCCAAAGAGCTACTCTGTAAAATTGCCATATTAAATTTGAATCTAATGTTCTTTATAGGAACAAAAACAAAACATCCACCACTGTTATGCTTAATTTCAAAACGGGAAATTATATAAAAATGAAGGTATTTGTTAAAATGAAATTACTAGAATCTGGTAATTAGTAGAGTCTAGCACAGAGACTAGTTACAGAAACCCTGTTGGCTTCTGATTTGAAGGTTGAGAAAAAGAGGCTTTGATCACAGGTGAGATTTTAGGCAAGGCATCCTTCACCCACATAATACCACTGTCAGCCCAGAGCAAATTCTACATGTGGCAATGCTGACCAGTGCAGATCATAGGGAAAACCTTTTAATTTTACATAGCAATAAGGCCATAGAGAATAATTATCTATAGCCAGGTTCTGCATGGCCAGCAGTTATACTCTCTAACACCAATCAATCCCAAACACATAGTATAAGTCTCAGTGTGTACTATGTTATCTAACGGAGATACGCGGTACTGTAACAGAAATGTAGGTACCCTAAAGTTTTAATCTTCAGGAAATTTGAGCTACTGACAAAATTAGGAAAATGGTGAGTTGTTTTCAATTAGGTTATATTCCAAAGAAATGCAGGAGAAATAATCAGCTTTTTTTTTTTTTTTTTTTTTTTAAAAAATAATAATCAAAATATTGCAAAATTATAATGTCTGATATTTTTAATACTGTGTTTCACTAGGCAAACTATCCCAATATGTCACTTGAAGCAACACAGCTAAATCAGGCTTTAAGATGTCCAGAAATAGACAAGTATTTTGAGAAGCCTCCAGGCATCAATTATAATATAAAAGGAATGTCTGAATTAGACTTGACTTCAGCCTAGAGTCAAAATATTCTGCTGTTAAAGACTGGTCATCTGTTTGTGTATGACTGATTTACAAAACCAGAAATGAGTTAGCTAGAAGTATTACCTTCAAAATGCATATTACCTTATTTCTAAGAAGGAAAACAGCATTAATGAAGGATTCTGTGGATCCACCTACTGTAGCCACTTTCAATAAAACAAGCAATTAGGGCAAAAAATCCTTAAATATTGCAATTCCCCCCCCGGTAAGCATTCTGATCAAATTCCAGTGACATGACATTCACAGAAACATGCATATATTCCAGCGTGACTCAATAGTCCTGCAGGCAGACTGCAGTTTTGCATTTTATTTGAGAAAGTTATCACCTTTCATGTAGATGATGCTGCCTACATTGAAAAGACTTATTGCTGTTCTGTTGCGATCGTTTCCAAGCTTTATTTCTCACAGAAACCTTTCTTCTTTTGACACCATTCTGGTGAGAATGCCTTTTAAACAGATAAAGTGTTTTTCTCAAGCTTTTCTCAAGCATTTTTCAACACTGAAAATGGGGCAATGAAGCAACCTCTAATGGCTCCTAACCACATTGCTTCTTATTGAGTGGTCTCCTGTTGGAGGTGCTATTTTC